AAGGAAAGATTGAAGGGTGGCCGCCGTACTGGTGAAAAAAGGAAGCTCCAGAGGAAAGCACTGAAGGCGAGCCGTACAAAAGGAGGATAACCCAAAAACTATCTGCAGTACCTTTAAAGGACGGGGCCCAGAAAAGGATGTCCGAATATTACAAGATAAGTAATTTTATGTTACTTGCAAACTTAAGTAATCTTTCATTCTTACTGCAAGTGGCAGATTTCAAGAAGTTTTACCTCATGCGAGGTCTACCTTTATCGCCAAAAGGGCGAGAAATGAGTTGTGACCGATTTTCTTATTATGTTTTTCATTACTCGCGGTAAAACTAAAGTGATGTATAATACGTTGTGTAAAGACAAATATTGTAAAGTTTGTATAAATTTTATTTAAACATTCTAGCAAGAAAGAAGTTTTAGTCTGAAAGCTTTTTTTGAAATGTATTATTCATGTAGAAAGGAATTGGCACTTGCTTTGAAAAGAATAGAAGTTAACAATGTACTATAATGTTGTTTTCAAATCTGTAAATTAACGGCTGTTGATATGTCTGTTATTGTAAAGTAGAAATACCGTGATATGGTAAAAGTGAAAGTAATGTTAAAAATTTGTTATCGGTGACTGTAAAGACTAAATCATGGCGAATGTGTTAAAGGTGAATGAGTAGTTAGGCTCTCTGACGTTACACTTCGAGTAGCCACTTTAGAATAGTACCCTCAGGGTTTAGGTTGAAATTAGGGGTGTTAAGAGGGTTTATGTGATTTTAACACGTTAGGGTTTTGTGGAGGAAGTGTGGCACACGTAGACAGAAACACATCGTGTTTGGGTTTTTACAAACATGTCAGAGAGACGGGAGAGATAATTAAAATAGTCATGATGAAATAGAATGTTAAGAGAGTATATTGTATATGTTACTTGCAATGTCATTGGGAACATTCATAAATAGTTTTCCTTCCAGATCTCTGAAGGAACCAGAATTGAATAAAAGCTCCTGTTTAGATGCAGTACAGATGAAAAAAGATTGTTGTATACCGGGAGCTGCTATTGTAACAAATTTCTCTTTTAAATTTCTAGTTTACGAGTATGTTGTAAAGATTGGCCTCGCGTAGATTCTAGAGCAAAAGTTTAACAAGGTCGTTTAGACCTCAGTTTCAAACTAATTAACTCTCGGGAAAGTAGTAGGATCTTAAGTTTTACTAAATTTATTTTATTTTAAATCTTTACTATACTTCTTATTTTCTACTTCCGGCCAGAATTATAAGCGTGAAGGATTTTTATGCAAAGTTTGTCTGGCGAACGCCAAGTACTTAAGTTGTGGGTTTTTGCCAAGCAGAGAGAGAGGAAGCAGTAAGTCAAGCAGGCCGCTTACCTTAGAAGTTACGCAGTTGCTGTTTGCCTTCCAGGCAGAGGTTTTAATCCTCTTGATAAATTAAACGTATTGTAGTGTTCACAGTCTCTGTGCTACATACGCTTCCTGTTATTATAAGGCCAATCTTCCACGTGTATTATTCTAAAGTTAAATTAGAGTTTAGTTTTATTTTTATACTTTACGTTAGACCCCGAGTTTCGGGTCAGGTATTCCGAAGTACGGAAGTTATTGTATATAGAGAAAATAAAGGGTTTTTATACCCTTCGTCTGTATCGTGTCTACTTACCACAATTAGTGAACATAGCTTTAGTAAGCTCTCTGTTCCGAGTCAGGTCCTTGTATGTTCCCGGAGAAGGTTAGAAGGAACATTGAACCTGATAAGTTCCCTAATTGAACCTTCAGTGTACTAATTTATCGTTCGCGTGATTTTGATTTGGTATATTGTGAATGATGGCTTTTTCCGGAGGTGAAAGGGAAGCTTTTGGTGTAGCGCCATTTGACGGTGTTAATAACTTTACTGTTTGGTGTCGAAGAGTTCGAGCAGTATTTACGGCAAGAGAATTGGATACGTTTTTGGAAACAGAAGCAGTTGCGGACAGAGTTGCAGATGTTTTGAAATCAAAAAAGGCTTATGCCTTAATACTTGCCCTTCTAAGTGACAATGTTATTGCTTCTCTTCAACGTGAAGACACTGCATGTAAAATATGGAAGAAACTACAAGCTACGTATAGCGCTAAAGGTGCAGTGAGTCAAATTTTAACGCGTAAACGTCTAGCTACCATAAGGAAATCCAAGGATGTGTCAATGAGACAGCATATCGACAGCATAATGAACCTGGTGAGTAGTCTACGCGTCTCTGGCTCTGAAGTAAGCGATTTTGATATTATTATTTACATTTTAATGTCTTTGCCAAAAGAATATGAAAATATTAAGGCATCTCTAGAGAATCAGCCAAGCAATAATTTGAGTTTAGATTTTGTTACAAGTAGACTTATTGATTGTGAATCTCTTATGTTTGATTATAAAAATGAAAATAAGTATTCTAAACCAAATACAGATAACTCTGTTTTTATTAGTGCTCGTAAAGAATTGTTTTGTACTTATTGTAAAAGAAAAGGACATTCTGTTAAATTTTGTAGGAAAAAGAACTGCGTCTGTCATAACTGTGGGAAAAACTGGTCATTTCAAAAGTGAATGTTTTGATAATTCTAAAAAGCAGGCAAATTCAAATAGTAATAAGTATGCATCCCCTGCAATATATCTTTTATGGCTGGAAATCTTGTGCATGATCAATTTATTATTGATTCTGGTGCAACTTCTCATATGTCTTCTCACAAGGAATGGTTTACCTCAATTAAGCCTAAGACTGGAACTGTTAAGTGCGCGTCTAAGTCGGCGGTTTTAGAAGTGGAAGGAATTGGTGATATTTGCGGTAAAACTAAGAATGGTGTTGAAATAATGTTAAAAGATGTTCTTTACGTTCCAAAATTAAACGGACAATTAATTTCTGTTAAAAATATTGAAGCAGCAGGTTTGAGCGTAATTTTTAAAAATGAAATAGTTTATATTGAAAACAAAAACAAGCGTTTTAGATTTGGATACTTGGATAAATGCGGACAATATTTTAGTGATTTTTCACCAAATTTATTTACAGCTTTAGCAGTAAAGAATGATGATTTATGGCACAGAAGGTTAGGACACTGCTGTGATCAAAAATTAAAACTGATGAATCTTCCTGCAAAAGAATCCTTTTGTGAAGTATGTGTTCGTGCCAAACAAAGTGCTTTGCCTATAGGAAAGGGTCCTCGCATAAAAGAATCCAAACCGCTTTATAACTATACACACTGATATATGTGGTCCAATAGAACCTCAAACACTCCATGGGGAAAGGTATTTCATGACTATAATTGATGACTATTCGAGATTTATGGAAATCAGACTGCTCAAAAGAAAAAGTGACATTGCTGATGAACTCAAGCTATTCTTTAAATTGAATCCAACTGTTGCAAAACTGCGCTGTGTGACAATGCCAAAGAATATGTCAGTGGAGAATTGCATGAAGTTGCTAAAAGAGCAGGTGTAAAAATAGATCCTGCACCTCCCTATACACCTTTTCTAAATGGTGTTGCTGAACGAGCAAATAGAACTGTACTGGAAAAAGCTAGAGCAATGATACTTGAGGCAAAATTACCAAAATTCCTTTGGGGTGAAGCAGTACTTACGGCTGCTTACATAAATAATCGACTCCCAAATAGTTCAATTGACAATCATGTTCCTTATTTTCTGAAGTATGGTGAAAATCCTGATTTAAAAAACATGCGTGTATTTGGCTGTGATGCTTATACTCTTGTGCCACCATCGCAAAGAAAAAAAAAACTAGATGAAAATCAGCCAGAATAATGTTTGTAGGTTATTCCACAATGGGATATCGTTTGATGGTTCCAGAAACAAGACGCATCGTTGTTTCCAGAAATGTTAAATTTAATGAAGAAAAGAAGAAAGTAGAAAATCAAAAATATATTCCCGATAGTTCTGATTTGAGTGAAAATGACAATGATGACATTAAAAATGAAGACAAATCAATTTCAGACACTGATAACGGCGAATTAAATGCTGCAAATAAGAAGGAGGAACAAAGAAAATCCTCAAGAGAAAAGAAACAGCCAGTTAGGTATCCTGATCCTGAGATTTACCAAGTAATGTTTGCACAAGACACTCTGACATTTGAAGATATTGTAAATCTACCACAAGTAGAACAAGAACCATGGAAAAGAGCTATGGACGAGGAAATGAAATCTATGGAAGATAACGACGTCTGGGACCTACAAAGTTTACCCCCTGATAAAAGAGCCATTTCCTGCAAATGGGTTCTACGTAAAAAACGAGATGGAACTTACAAAGCGAGGCTTGTTGCTCGTGGCTTTATGCAAAAAGAAGGCATAGATTATACAGAAACGTTTTCTCCAGTGATTAGTATGTGCTCTTTACGTTTAATCCTGGTAATTATCAATAATGAAGGTCTGCAAACTTTTACTTTAGATGTCAAGACAGCTTTCTTGAACGGTAAGTTAGATGAAATCATCTACATGGACCAGATGTAAACTTAAAAAGAGTTTATATGGTCTTAAACAGTCTCCTCGACAATGGTATCAGAAATTTCTTAATTTTGTTATTAAATTAGATTTTAAGCAATTGGACTCTGAACCATGTATTTTTATCAGAAATTTAAATTGTAAGAAAGTAATTATGGCTCTTTATGTAGATGACTTATTAATTGCAGGTTCAGATGTAAAAGAAACAAATATTATAATATCATTGTTATCAAATGAATTTAAAATGTCAAAATCTGAAAGTGTTTCGGAATTTTTGGGTATTAGACTGAAATTTGAGTCTGGTTGTTTGTATTTAGATCAGAAACCATATATTGAAAAATTACTTGATAAATTTAAAATGTCTGATTGTAAAACAGCCCAAACTCCCATTCAACCAAAATCTACAGCAGCTGATTTTCAGAAAGGAAATGCATTTCATGGCCCATACAAAGAATTAATTGGGTCTTTACTTTACTTAGCATATATCACAAGGCCAGATATTATTTTTGCAGTAAATTGCTTGAAGCCAACTGCAGGAGCATCCTACTGATGTTGCCTGGTGTGCTCTAAAAAGAATTCTTAGGTACTTGAAAAACACCTTAAATTTAAAATTGATATACAAAAAGGGTGAAATTTGGAAAGGGCAAACTTGTATTTTTAGTAGAGATGCAGATTGGGGGGGGAGATACTCAAGATAGGAAATCAATTACTGGTTACTTTATAATGTTTTCAAACTGTCCTATTATGTGGTGCTGTAACAAGCAAAAGTGTTATTGCACTTTCATCAACAGAAGCCTGAAATAATTGCTTTATGTAAAGGTATTCAAGATGTTCTATGGATAAAAAAAATGTAGTAAATGAAAATTTCCAGTGTTAAAAATGTTTATATTTTTGAGGATAACCAGTCATGTTCAAAGTATTGTTAATGAAAACTTTTCAGGTAGGTTGAAACATATAGATATAAAATTAAAGTTCACTCGTAAGACTGTTAAGGAAAATAATATTAAAATTGAATATGTACAATCAGGTTTACAAATTGCAGATATGTTAACTAAGGCTTTGTCCAAAACAAAATTCTATGAACTGTTATCTTGAGTTGTTTTTTAAAAATTGTGTAATTCTTTTATGTTTTGTATAAGTGCGATTAAGGGGAGTGTTGAGATATTTGTAATCGCATTCTTACTGGTTAAAAGG